TGGCCTGGTTCGGAAGGCAGAAGAAATTGGACTCCTAAAAGGTATCCAAGTAGGCAGAGGCAATTTGAGGCTCACTCATTTACAATTTGCTGACGATACAATCTTATTTAGTGAAGCGAGTAAAGCTAATGCATGGGCAATGAAATGTGTGATGAGGAGTTTCAAGATGATTTCTAGGTTAAAGGTTAATTATGATAAAAGTTGGCTGTGTGGGCTGAATGTAGACAGTGAAAGATTGGAAGACATGGCAACCATAATGAACTGTGCAGTTAGCAATATCCCCTTCAAGTATTTAGGGGTTCCAGTGGGAGCAAACACAAACAAAATTTCTACTTGGGCTCCAGTAATTAAGTGTGTGAAAAGAAGGCTGAATAGATGGAGTGGGGTTTCACTATCATTTGGGGGGAGAATTGTTCTTCTCAAGGATGTGTTATCCTACCTACCCGTATATTTCTTCTCTGTGTATAAGGCTCCAAAACAGGTAACAAACCTTCTCACCAAACTACAATGTAATTTTCTTTGAGGTAGGGGAAAGGGTGGTAGGAATATAGCATGGATTAAGTGGGATGTGATATGCAAATATAGAGAGGAGGGTGGGTTAGGTGTTAGAAATGTTAAAAGCTTTAATAAGGCCCTCCTTGGAAAATGGAAGTGGAGAGTGTTAAGGGAAAAGGAGGTACTGTGGAAGAGAGTCATATATGAATTGTACGGGATTGATGGCGGTAGGGGGTGGGGAGGGTGTGTGCAAAATGAGAAAGGTTCAGTATGGTGGAAAGAGTTATGGAAATTAGAGAGTGAACTTGTTTCTCCTAACAGGTGGTTAAGGGAAGGTTTTGTGAAAAGGGTAGGTAAGGGCAAGGACACTTTCTTTTGGGATGACATGTGGGTAGGGGATGTGAATTTAAAAGAAAAATTTCCAAGATTGTATTCCATTACAACAAATAAAAATGTGAAAGTAGCAGAATTAGGGGAATGGTGTGAGGGAGTGTGGGTGTGGAAGTGGAATTGGAGAAGGGATTTGTTTGCTTGGGAACTTGATTTGTTACAGGAATTGGAAGATACCATTCGACT